AGTGGGGAAGGGTGTGAACCACCCAGCATACTCCAGCAGAGAGTTTGGAATTCCTGTTCCAGCAGCAAGGTGGAATGTTAGAGAGGGAGGGACTACATCAACTCAACTTTAAATCTATTTATTTTACAGTACCAAAACTGCCACTCTTAGACACAAACTGTGTCTAACAATGCCCCTTCTAGTGTGGAAGGGCTTCCTTCATATTCAATGTCACCACAGGAAGAGCAGCCCAGAGGGAAATTCTGTTCCAAACCTTTCTGAGAGTGGCCTGAAGCCCTCTGGGGTAGGCCCAGGTGAAAATCCCTGTTGTGCTTCAGTGCTGCCCCTTTAGGGTCACAGCAGCACTCACAGAAAATCTCCCAATATTTAACCTGCAAACTTCCCAGCATCACAAGGGGCAGAAGAACAAAACCAGAGGCTGCCCAGTGCATTTGGGAAGTTATAAATCTGGATTTAATTACTGGAATTCAGAGATTCTGGGTGAAACTGGTGCCATGACTCCCTGTTCTGAGAGTGGCTCAGGGGAGTCACCAAATCTGACCATATAAAGAAAAGATTTGCTTTTCTGTTGTGTGGTGGCCAAATTCTGCTCCTCCAGAGGTGGCACACGAGGAACCAACAGCACCTTCCACCCTGCCCCAGAATAAGGACAGAGATGTTCACTGCAGATTCCACAACAACCTTTTTCTTGTGTTTTTAAGGGAAAAGAAACAACACTACAGCATTCCTCACACCGTGCTAGGCCTAGATTTTCTCTAGAACTAAACCCCCAGAATGTAAAACTCTATGCACAATAAAAAGACATTTGTTCAAACACACCATGGTATGAGCAATTCTCATATTTAAGCTCACTGGCAGTGTTTGAAAGTCATTTCAACTTCTCCATCCCTAGCTATCATCCTTTAAAAACTCATTTTCTTCCCCAATTTCAACAGACCTGATCAAAACACAGATGAGATTTGACACTGATCACTCCTTACAAACCAGGGCTCAGCTCAGCCCCCCCAAAATCTCAGCACACATTTGAGGGTTAATTCCTGCTTGTCTCAACAAACCCAACCCTGCCCAGCAGCTCCCTCCCCAAATCCAGGGACACATCCAGCAGTTTCCAGGGATTTTGTGGGCTGTGGGACCAGCTTTGAGCAGCCCCAATAAAGCATAAAAAATAAAAAAATCACAATGTTGGGTTTTTTGTTTTTTTTTTGCTTAAAGAACTGTAAACATTGAAAGCCTCAAGTCAATGCTGCTCAGCCTTTACACACAATGCTCAGCCAGACACAAAGCTGCAGGAATTCTACTGGGAAACCTGGGATCTGGGGGGAATCAAGTGCTTTAACCCTTCTACTGCTAAACACACACAAGGTCTTGGAAAAAAAAAACAACAAAACCAAAAACCACACGACTTTGTACAATTTCTAGAAACAGAATTACAGTACTGACATTAAAAACAGTTTCTAAGGCTCAGACTGAGTCCAAAAAGGCCTCTGGTTGGGTTCATTCAAGCTCTTATGTTTGGACTGCATGAATGCAGCATAAGAATGATTGCAGCAAGACATCCACAGGTAATTTCTACATTTATTTTGTTGGGTTTTTTTCTTTTTTTCTTTTTTTTTTTTTTTATACCAAAAAAAGTTATGTGCAACAAATAGAATCCGTACATATTTACATGGTTTTTTTTTTACCTGTTAGCAAAATTGTATCCTAAACCTCCAGTAGAGAATCTCTCAGCCTATATTGAGAAAAGGAACATCTGCCCAATGACTCCATTTTAAATGGGTGTAGGATTTGGAGTTGAAAGCACTGGGAATAAATAGTTGATGGAACATCCTATACAGAACACACACCTAATATTTAGGCCATGCTTAACACAGTTTTGTGGGAAGAGAATACTTCATCTCTTTTCTGGACCAGCTTAAACGACATTGGCAGAACCAAAGCCAATCTCTGACTTCAGCCCACATAAATTAGGAGCAGAACTGCCTGAAGCACCTCACCAACCTCCTGGAACAAATGAGACTCTACAGCAGCACAAAAATGCAAATTCCAGCATTCACAAACCTCCTCAGCAGAGATTTGTTGTCATTACAGATCTCAAAAGTGCTCAGGAATGCTTCATTGGCCTCAGTGTCACTAAAGTTTTACAGAAAAACTTCCAAGAATATTGATTTCCTCCAAGAGACTCGAATGCTTTGTTGGCCTTAAAGAGTAGCAAGTACCTTACAGTAAGAGGATTTCAGGAATGTTTAATTCCTAAGCAGGTTTTGGGATGAGGTGTTTTTTTTTTTTTTGCCTTTCCAATCCGCCCCTTGCTGTGGAGCTTCCAACTCAGAATATTCTGTGATCCCAAAGGAATTCTGGGATTCTGAGAGAGCCAAAGAGGGGCAGGAAGAGCCCAGATTCACAACCTCTATTTGGATACTGTGAATTTTCTCCCTTCCATTATCCTGAGTGATCTCTCTAACATCCACCATCCCTTGCCAGCCCAAATATCATTTACCTGCCTTTACCCAGACTCCTGCATTCTTGATTTTTGGGATTTGCAAGGGTAAAACCAGTATCAAGGGTAAAACCAGTATCAAGCACACATTTGCCACCACGTTTTGGCTGGGGCAGGCAGGGGGGCACAGCTGCACTCCTGATTTCCATCACAACCCATTTTACTGGAAGGAAGATGCTGTTTCTATCATTGGGAGCAGCAAGGAAAGATTCAGAAGAACTGGAAGCAGAAAGGACCAAATTTCTCCTGCTAAGATTATTCTGCCCTTTATCCAGGCCAAGTGCATTTCTGAAGCACAAGAGACAAAGAGAAGAAATCAGGGCCCTTTGTAGCAAATCACTTCCAGTAAAAAGTAACTGCAAGGGAAGCACACAAGACAAGAGTTCACAACTAAGGATCAGATTTGCAAGGTCGTGCACAAAGTGTGGCTGCAAATTCTCCCAGAGCCCAAACTCCAGCTCCTATGTGCACACAAACAAGGACTGCAGACAGCACTGCTGAAAATCTGGCCCTAAACATTTTTACTAAATAAACTGAATCAACAGACTATGCCCACACAAACAAGCACAAGACACAGTGAAGTTAAGTCAACACCAATACTTTCAGCTGATGGGGCTTTTTTTTCCTCTTTTCTTTTTTTTCCCCCAGAAATTGGACCAAGTGCTCATGGATTAGATTAGTCTCCATGGCTGCTTGCTCTGAGCTGGGCAGCACATGTTCACCTCCTCCTTGGGTGAAAAGAAGATGCCTTCAGTGTAGATCATAGGAATGCATCGAAATAAAATCTATACAACACATTAAACACTGCTACTGCCTCAAGGCTTGGCAGAGAACAAAGCCAAGCCTTGAGGGACCAATTCAACATCATTCATTCCCCTTAATATCAAAGTGGAAGGCATTTGAGAGACAGAACTAAACATCAAGACAAGCTTTAACTATACTCTGGTCAATACAAAACTCATTTAATGAATTGTTGGCTAAAACTGTCAGACGAGGGACAAGTCATTTAGTGTTACATGCAACAGATGTTACTCACACCACAGAACTCTGTACACAAAAGCAGTTTCCACCTCCACCCTTGGTACAAACCAGAATTACTTCAGTAATAATTTAAATATAAATTTCGTGAATTCAATCTCCCAAACTTGTTTTGCTCTATGGAAACACTGCTCGTTTCACAGTAGCTTATCCTTAGTGTTTAAAATTCACTTACAATGGAAGTGTCTCTCTGACATTCATGTTTGAGAATGAAAATGCTAAAAGGAATTAAATTAGTTCTTTAAATAAATGGTATGCAGTTGGAATTCTTCACATTTCGAACTGACAAGGGCAAAAAGCAGCACAGCACCAATTACAGAAAGTAGCTGAACCCACACATTTTGGTGTCACACAGTCTGAAACACAAGTATTTCACTTTTCCAAATCACATCAACCTTTGAAATTAAACTGAAAACAATACTGCTACCATTTCTCAGTCTAAAAACTAAAAACAGATCTCTTAATACTCTTCTATCCCCAGCAAGTTTGTTGGGAATTTTGTTTGTTCATTTTTAAAGCAAGGACACTTCTGCCTGCCAAGTTCAACACAAAGTATTTGGTTTAAGATTTGAAGACAGAAGGCACTTTTAACATTCAGCCTTAGAATACTGAGTGCAGAAACAACGTGTACAATTTTGTTCCTTTGTTTAAATCTGCAGTTTAATATTTTTTTCCCCAATTAGTTCTTAGAAAGAGCAATGATAGCACTATATCACATTTCATTTTCAGGAGCACATTGAACTTACTTATCCTATTAAACAGGCTGCCCTTCCAAGAGATCTTCTCTGTGTGTGTTTGTCAGGCCTAAAGTTCATTTCCCAATATAGCACAAACCAAAGATCCTGACCAAGATCAATTAAGGAACTGCTTTTTCAGTGCACTGCTTGGTTATCCTGCTCACTCAGTGGTTTCCACTGCAAATTGCAATTCTATACTGCAGCATTCATAGAACATCAAACATTAGTAACACTGGCTGGCTGAGCACAGCTTCCAATGAAACAGCTCTGCTTGGAAATGGAGTCCTTTCAAAGAACACTTCATCCAACCCCCAATCTGCAAATCAGCTTTTCATTGACCACATGAAGCTATTTTTGTTCTGTACAGAAATTAATGAGGTTGTCGTTTAATCAACATACTTCAGGTTTCAGCTTTAATTCCATTTTTGTTACTGGAGACAAAAAAAAAAAAAAAAAAAAAGGAAAAAAAAAAGAAAAAAATGGAACCAACCCCAAGCATCATTCTTGTGAAAGCACAACAGTGAGAGCAGCAACTCCATGTTCTTTAGAGGTCACTTCTTCCATCGTGTCAGTCGACTCTGAGCTGAACCCTCTGACAGCTCCTAACCAAACCCATGGGACAGTGAGTTCTCCAGGGATGAAACCAAGAGTTCTAATTTTATTTACAGTATAAGTCCTAGTCAAATCTAAGTCCATCAGCTAAAAAAAAAAAAAAAAAAAAAAAAAAAAAAAAAGAAAAAAAAGAAAAAAGAAAAAAATACACATACTGTAAACATGGCAACATTAAATATGGTGATGCTAGTCTAGAATATTTCATGTCATGATCACATCTTGTTATACCTGAATTTATATACAGGATATTTTATAGCAAGTGTTACCCACTTCACAAGTGGAGGGGGAAGAGAGAGAGAGTCTAGGTTTTGCTGTGGCTAAAACTCCATCAAAGTAAAGTTAAAGCTTGTCTTTGATTGTTATAGAGCTTTCTTTCATAACCACATTGGAACTGAAGATTAGCACAGAGAAATTATCTGGGGCCCCTTGAAATTTAGAACTCAAAATTTCCATTATGATTCTCGGGGAGGGAAGGGGCGGGGAAAAAAAGTGTCTGATATGGAGAATAAAAAAATTACTGCAAAATAAACTTAATGGAAGTTGGGTCTTCAGACTGTCAGTCAAAAGTTCCACCAGGGGTTATTCCTGTTTGGGTTGGAGTTGCCTCTTCCAGGCCTCGTTCAAATAAACTAGTCGTTTGTAGTTGATGATAAAGAGAATGAAGTTCAGCAAATATGTGAGCACGCAGACAATGCAAAATTCCTTCAGCACGAAGTACAGAATGTATGCCAAGTACAGGGAGCCTACTACAGACACTATGGAGGATGTCATGAGGATTAGAGCTGCTACTGCACTTGCTGTCATACCTGCAACAAGAGAGACAAAGTTACTCACCCCTCCCCACACGGAGCAAAACTGAATTCAAGCTCAGCCACTCAGCAACAGTTACACAAAAATCTGGTTAAAATATCACCCTTGAGAAGTGGGTATTTGGAGGGGAGTATTTAAGGCTCTGTCTGACAGCCCTGTGGTAAGGAGTGTGAGTAGGATTAACCATCCTCATATTCCTGACTTAGAGGAAAATCAGTGGTCAAGTTATTTCTGTCAGGAGGAACAGCTTTATAGCAAACCACAGAGTTACCAAGAAATAGATACAATTATATTTTATGCACTTTTTTGCCTGCTCTCTCCATTACTCCTGCAAAACTTGCCCATTCCATTTTTATTTCCTCTCTTTTCCACCATGCAATCCAATGCCAAGTATACTGGAGTGAAAATACCAGCACAGAAACTGTCTTCACACTTGGATTATTAATAGCATATCAGGAGAAAAATGCAATTACTCTTGTTATCAGTTGGGTTTTTAAGCCCTTTGGACAGATGTATCATTAGAGTGGTGCTAAAAAAACCCCAAGATACAAAAATCAGAAGCATTTATCTGGTTTCCTGCAGATAGTGCAATGGATATGGCTCTCCTCCTTCATCCCCACAGCCCTGCTTTATACTTGAGGCTCTGAAGTGAATAAATACTTACCAAGTAGCATTTGTAGTATATAAAACACCAGGCCAAAAACACTGTTTGACTGATTTATTGCACTGTCCTTTCCAAAGATGGAACCCAAGAGACCGAATCCTCGACCCCATCTGTAAAACAGGGAAACTAATTAACTCTTAATTGGCCACCTACTGCTTTCCAGCAGCATTTTCAGTTCAGGGCTGTTGGAGAAAGAAAAGGACACATATTCTGCCACGACTGATGTGGAGTTCTCCTGGAAAACCAAGCAGCAACAGGGGGAGCGCTGGGCACAGTTTTACCCCACACCTTGCTGATAAAAGCTGTTTGCCACAGCAGGAAGGGCTGAGCTCACCCAGCTCTAAGTTCCCTGGACACCACCTCTGCTTCCAGGGCTGCAGTTTGGAGCTGTGGTGTCACATCAACACTTCCTTCCCCCAGTGACAGCTCCAGCAGCTCTCTGCACCACAGTAAACTGGACACAAGGTCACCACAAAGCTGAGGCAAGGATTTGTTCCACTCACTTCTGTGCACCAGAGCAGCAGAATCAGGGCATAAATCTGCAGCTCAGCTGCTCCCCAGGCTAAGAGCTCAGGAGGAACCCAAATCTGTCAAGCACACGAGCTGAGGATGGCACCAGCACAAAATCCTCAGCCCTCCTTGGTTGGAGCTCTTGCACAGTGTGACACTTTGAAAAAACACCTGAAATCCCTACAGAGAGACTTCCAATTTCCCAGTGATAAGGCAGAAAGAAAGCAGCACAAGCCCTACAAAACTCCTCCCCCTTCCTGCAGCAGCAAAGATTAAATTAGCAAATGTGTTTGTGCCAGAAACCATTAATTCCATGCCCTAAGGCAGATCACACCATTATTTGTAAGAGCAAAGTGAGGACCTTATTTATTAGTGTCACTTGAAAATATGAAGTTATTTTGCTACTCCGAGGTAATCTAACTCACAAGAGCACATTGGGATATTTGCCAGAAGATTTTTGGAGCATCAAGCCAAAGCACTACACAAATGTTAAGGTTTCCTTCACATTACCAGCTCAAGTGAGCAAGGTAAAAAGTGCCATTCCTCATCCTGCTGCAGCAGGAAGCTCCAAGGAAAATGCAGTTTTCAGGAAGTTCCTTGTCCTAGAGGCAATGGCCCTGCTGAACCAGGACACAGCTCAGATTTGTCCCTGCACAAAGCAGGAATGTCGTGATGTCACTCACCTGGGACCTGCCATCACCACATCACAAACAGTTCTCTCCCAGGAAGAGGCACCACAATAAGGATAATTTAATACCATCTCCAAAACACTTTCTAGTCTCACAGCCATCTGTGCAAAACTCATTTAAACTCATCATTTTAATTGCAGACTAAGTTTGAATTCACTATTAATACTCTTGTGCTCTTCTTTCTGCCCAAGAAACCCAGCAGATCCCAATTCTTAGAAAGCAGATTTACTGTATAAACAGTCAAAAATTAAACACATTTTCAGCTAGACTCAAATCTTTTAAAAGTGAAACTTGAGTGCCAATATTAAGCTCCAAGGCAGCACAGACAGTGCTTTTCCAGGGGACAGAGCCTCAGCATCTCAGAGGTGCCAGACATGGAGCTGCAGGGAAAAGCAGAGCAGAACTGCCTGGCTCTCTGCTCTCATCCCACGGCAACTCTGGGGCTGTGGAAATGACAAAGAATGACAAAGAATCTCGGTTATGGTGAGATTTCCTCCCTCACCTCAAATGTTATCTGGATTTTAAGTGAGAACTGTTAATTTTTTAGCCTTCATTTGGTAAGATGATCACAGCACATGTAACAATTGTCTTGTGTTGTCCAAATTCCAAAGGCTGAATTAAAGAGCCACGCAAATATATTAAAGAAATTATCATTTTTACATTTAAAAATTTATACTTATTTTTCTGTATCACCACATTTACAGATGCTTCAGCCTGCCATCCACAGGTTCAGTTTGTTGTTCTGGTCTCCAAGTGAGAATTCTTTGCAGGGTGACATTAAAATGATCTGAACACACTCAGGTTTTCCTGCACAACCCAAAGTGGGCCAAGGTTCAGCATCAGCCTAACCCCAAATAACTGCAGGATGCTGAATCCATCCCTACCTGAGTGCCTGACAGCAAACTCCAGCTTAGAACATCAGAAATGTCATTTTACAGAACCTGACCCTGCAGTTGTTCTGCAAGAGAATAAAATGTTGCCAGTGGAAGGATAATGAGCTCCAGCCCTTCCTGAGAGTCACTCCTGCAGTGATCTGTGCAGAGCTGCAAGGTCAGAGCACAGGGAAAGCTTTTCCCACATGCAGGAGTTCATTAAGTGTCTTGTTGGCCTTGTAGCAGCTTTGAGGACATCAAGTATTACATTTCAGCCCATGGAGTCCAGGTCTAATCTCACATTTTATTCCAGCTCAGCAGCCTGGGCTTTAACACAGAACACTTTTCCCAGCCTTATAAGGTTTGGAGTGGGAGCAAAGTGGTCTGCAGCAAACTGAAAACAAAGTATTTAGACTTTATATCTTTACTTTGTATACTCCATTTCCCATCTCATCTCCCTACTGAAAAGTCTAAACTGTCTCCTAATTTTATTAAGGTTATAAAACCCACAATGAACCAGGAGCTTCTGCCAGAAAGTGGAGGAAGGATAAAAACTGAGCAGATAATGTTCCTTTTCACACCAAACTCAGGTGTGAATTTCCAGACTGATGATAACTTTGAAACTCGAAAAAAACAGGGCAAACAAATAGCAAGAAGAAAATGCTAATAGCAAGATAAGCTGCAAAAAATAAACTCAGAAGTCTTTCATGTAGCCTGCATTTTACAAAAAAATACAATTTAGAAGAAGTATTATTCATTTGCATCATTTTTTTTTGGATACAGAATGCCAAGCAAAATGACCTGCAGTAACCACAGAGCTGCTTGCACAACAAGATAAAAGCAGAGCCTGATTTCACCAAGTTTTTCCTGGTTGTGACTGGTGGCTCCCATCCCTGAGGATCAGGAGTTCCGTGCTGAGATCCAGGTCGCAGTCACCCGAGGTGACTCAGAGCACTCTGACAAACATGTGCCAAACCCATTTTCACCACACCCGAGTTTCAATGCCATTCAGAAATAAAAAGCAATGTGATCTAACTGCAAGGAGCAAACCTTTAAGACATCTTTGTAACTCGGTTTCCCTCCCTATCTGCATGTACCAGTCTGAATGTTCTTTACAAAGTAAGATAGTGGTTCAAGAAATCTAAATTAAAGTGATTCATCTACTGTCCCAACATCTACAATTGAACACTGCAGTGATTTTCAGTCCAATGTGCACTGTCTTTTATCAAAAGGACGTTTTGAAAGTTATTATTCACTCTCTAAACAATGTCCCTTTTGGTTTGAGGTACTTCACAAAGCTCAGCAATGTTGCATTTTCAGACGTTTAAAGCACTACTTGTGTGCAATTGTTACTTCTTCATAGGAAGACAAAAAGAACTGAGGTCACTGTGCTCCACAAGTGATGTACCTCCAATAAAATCTTACACTTTTAAATCACTAAAATCATTTAAATCTCTTTTGTACATATATGAACATCAACAGCGTATTAGGGAACACACTTGAAACTGTTTATCACAATTTAGCAGAGAAAATGCTAAAAGGGAACACAAGAACCTTATGCAGTCCATCAGTATCTCAAGTATTTTAGAGGACAAGCAAACAACCTTCCAGTTTAACAAGTTACAAGCTCTGAGTTATCAGCATTAACTCCAAAAGCAGCAGAATTCCAAGCCTGCCAAACACACCAAGTCAAACAAACCAACCAAAAAGTGTTTATTTAGCCAGGAGTTGGATTAGTGTCCCCTGCAGCCCCTGGAAGAAATGCTGGAGGTGTTTTCATAGCCAAGCCCCAGCTGTGACAGTGCCTGCAGTTGGTTTGAACAGTTTTGTCACAGATCATTCCCCAAGGTGCTTTCCTTGGCCTCCACCGTCCTTATGGGTCAGCTGAAACTTCTGATCTGGGGTTTCACCTGCACCAACATTTCTCAGCCTCCCCTGAAGCCTCCCTGCATGTCCCAGATGCTTTCTGAGCACTTCTGAGCTCCACAACCAGCCCTGGTGATGAGCAGGGTCACATCCTCTCCATTTCACCCCTTCATTTTTATGTGCAGAACTGAACCAACCCCAATATTTTCATTTTAACATGGAAAGAACCATACTGGGGGCAGGGCAGGTCCAGCAGCAGATGCCTTGAACAAAGCACACAATTCCCAGGTCACATCCCAATGTCCCCAAGGACTGCTTGGAAATGCAATCAAATCCTTCAGGGGACCAGAATATTCAAAGGCATGTCTGATCCCAAATCTCTGCATTTGTGCAGCAGCAGCTCTGCCAACACCATTCTCTCTCAGTTGTTGGGTTTGGTGCAATAAAAAGGGCAAACAATAAAAAAGATCCTGTACTCACACTGCAAGAAAAGAACTCAAGTTTGGGTGGTTTTTGGGTAGTAGGAGTTTACTCAAAGCCTCTCATTTCAGGATTATTTATCATCCTATGAGCATTATTTTGTTATCAACAGCAAGTACCCCTTACCACTTCGTAACCCTGAGGAAACAAAAAATCAGATTTTCTAAAAAAAAGAAAACAAAAAAGAAATTTAAAAAGGCTACACTTGATAAGTGATGTGAACATTTCCTTAAATTTTTGTCCAGAGTTTAAGTTCTCAGAGGGGAGCAGGGCTCACCCTCTGCCTTCAGGGAAAAGCTCATATAAAGGTCAAAGGATCTGCAGCATGTTAAGAAACTTTGGTAGCAACTTTTTTCCAGCTTCACCCAGAGGATTTTGGATTAAACCTAATTCATGGTTTCAAGGCCACTCTAACAGTTTTAATAAATTAAGTAAAAGCCTTCAATTAGAAGCCACAATAAAGGAGATTAAAAATTTCCATTTGTAAACTTGCCAGCAGTGCTCAAAAATGTCAATACATCTAATTTCACGTTTAAATCTATTAGCAGCAGTTAGCATAACCAAATGAAGTTTTCTTCTATATATCCTCCAGCTCTACTTCAGAAAGTCTGTAAAAACTCTCAGTTTCTAGATCAGCAAAATATATTAAGCAGACAGTGGATTATTATTTTATAGCAGCCTTTACAGAAGCACTGGCTATTCAAGATACAAGCCAACAGCAGTGATTCCTTCCACAAAATCTTTTATATTAAGATACCACAAATGAAGCCTAAGTCTGAATTATAAGCACTTTGTTAAATTTACTTTACACCAGGCAAAATAATTCTTAGCCCTATTACAAATTCCAGTCAAGCTGGAAATGATGTATTTATGAAAAGCAAAAATTAATGTGTTTGTGTGAGCACTGTAAGGATGGAAAATAAAAGATTCCCACAGCAGGGGTACAGCTGTGTTTTATAAAAGATGTGCCTCAGTCAATAAGTGTTGTACCAGTATTAAACCATCCATTTTCTACTAGAAAGATGGGGAAAAAAAAACCCCAAAGCACTTGAGTAATCAGTTTCTGCAGTTTTAGAGCAACTTTACAACTCCAGGCTGGTTTCTACCAGCATTCCTGGAACACCTCCCCTGTCCAGCACATGGAACAAGCTCTGGATCCTCCCAGCTGAGCCCCCAGAACAGAGAACCCTGGCTCCCAGGGCAGGGGTTCCCTTCAGCAGGAGTGACTGTGGCTTTCCCTCCCTTCCCCTGTGTCACTGAATTTGGCTCCTCCAATTTCTCCCTGCCCAATTCCAAACCAGAGATCTTCCCTCAGGCAGCAAACCCAGTGAATCCCTGAAGAAGCTCTGTTACACCAATCTCTGACACTCACAGCTGAAAACCTCAAACATATCTGGATATTTGCTTGCAGGTACAGCAATGAAAAAATAAATTCCTGGAGTATCATTAATTTATTATTATAAATATGAATGATAATTATGCTACATAATGTTCTTCACTTAGAATTAAGCAAACTTGACAGACAAGTTTCCAGGAACTGCCCCACAACAGAGCTCAGTGGCTGTTTAAACATCAGCTTAGGGAGGTCTGGGAAGTTTTCTCCACATCCCATTTCCTTGGACAATGGGGGGGTTGTTGTCACTTTGATCCCTGTAAAGATGCACGGGAACAGTTCTAGCAAGGTGTGCTCTGCTGAGGAACCAGCACGGGGCAGTTCCACCTGCAGTTCTTGGAACAATTCACACCCACTCTGCAGAGGAACAGCACAACCAACCAAACACAACAACACGGGTGGAAATTCAGTGTTTAAAGTCATTTATGAACCATACAATAATACTACAGCTGTCACAGGACTCCCTTCCACACACCCCAAATTTAAAGGCATTTTCAGGAGCTACCAGGTGGGTATTTTGGTGCACCCCCCCAGAAATCACAAGGTGGATGTGCAGCCTGCTCTGGAGGAAGGTGTCCCTGCCCATGGCACGGGGCTGGAACAGGATGAACCTGAAGGTCCCTTCCAACCCAAACCATTCTGCCGTGTCAGACTTTTTCAGAACTTTTCAAACTGCCTCAAACACAAGACACCAATCCAAGACTTTGCCCATGAACAGAATAGGGAATTGCTAAAATATCAATGCCATGAGATTCTCCAAATGCTATTTTGACTCTAGAACTCCTTCAGCAAGCAGGCAAAGATCAATATTGACTATTGCCAAACCTCTTGACTGACGCAGCTGCAAATATTGCTAAAGATATACACGACATGTGCCCTTTGCTCATCTGTGCTGCTGTCTTGAGGCTCTCCTACACAGGGTACAGCATTAATTCATGCATGCCAGGCTACAAAAGTCATTCAAAACCACTAATTTATCCTGCACGAATCTCCAATTTATCAAGACAAAAAGCAGAAATGTATTAGAAGACCCCAGAATCTCTCAGGGCGTGCAAGAGACAAAAGCCAAAGGCTCTGGGTCTCTGCATTACCACTTAAAGGTCACATTTTATTTCAAGCTGGAGCATGACCTGTATGACTTGAAAAGTGTTTTATTACTTTAATTCCCTCTGTGATACTACAGCAAGACCAAAAATATTTTTCAGGAACTGCTATTAGCCCGTTTCATTATAAACAAAGCCATTCTTGACACTTAATTATTTTCAGTTATAAGACAGCAATTAATTTAAAAGAAATTCAGCAATGCCAGTGGAGATGTGAGGTATTGCTCTAATACCTGCCCTTATTAGCCACTCCTTAGCAGTTTTTATTTTTAAACTATTTCATGAACTTTCCCCTTGATAAAAACTTGAAATATGCTGACCATTCATGTTTTGGGTAAGGGATACTGGGAAGGGATCTCTCCAACATAATGTTCTGCATGAGTCAGGCTCTGATAGGAGATTTTCTGTGCTCCTCCCTCTGCATGCTGGCAGTCTTTACATTTCTGGTCTTGTTGTTGTGCCAATGCCAGATCTGGCTTAAAAGCAAGACTTGGAAATACCAACAGCTGGTGAAAAAAACTCTGCCCCAAATACCAGAAAGTCAGCTCAGGAAAGAATAAACTAATTTATTCTAATTATTCTATGCATTTAAAGTGGATCCTAACAGCATTAAGTGCTTTTTAAAGTTCAGCCCACTCTTGGAGTCAAAACTCAAGATGTGAAGATTGCAACATTCCAAGTTCCATCAGCAAATCCAGCTTAAATAAAAAGTCCCATAACCCATAACCCAATGAACCATCTAAAAGCCTAAGCAGGAACAGAAGTTTTTCATCCAGTTTACTCTGCAGAGTTAACTCTAATAATTAGCTAATCAATTAATTTCTGACTGTCAGTGTAACAGATTAATGAGAAAAGAAATGTGACAGTTAAATCTGAATTACCTGTGAAAAAGCTGGAATACAAAATTGAAACTCTACAACCCCAGCAAAATGTAAAGTGTGGTTAAAAATTCCTTTTAGAAATGAAGTTTCTGAGAAACTTTGGTGATGCAGGAACAAGGAACACTCAGCTGGAGAGAGTGAGAGACAGGGATGGATGGGGAGCTGGGGCAACACGGAAAATAAGATTAATTTCTTTCCAACTTTAATGCCCTGCCCTCCTTTACTTTTAAAGCAGAACTCCCCCTCTGTGTCCTGCACAGGCTGGAAAGCAAATTCTTCTCCAAATATGGTTGGAGTGAACAGAACTTGCACGTTCCTTTTGCACAAACTCCTTTTACCACCTGCTCCAACGATCACGAGCTCTCCTGGCATTTGCAATGCTTCACTCCATAGCAACTGCTGGGAGAGCTGAGTGCATTTTATCCCTAACTCTTCACATTATCATATAGAATTCCTACAGCAAAGGATTTCCAGGTCTTACTCAACGTGTCAGCTGCAGCATTGCTAATGAAAGCTGTAATTACCGAGCTTGATTCCATAATTAGAAATAATTCTGATTATATCTTCAGGTAATTTCCTTCACCCGAGTGTTCAGTAAACAGCATCAAAACTGTGACATCCAATTCCCTGTCACAACAGCAGCATTTGCTGCAACAACAAAAAGCTGTTGGAGGAGCAATTCTATTCAAGAAGAGGCTACTTAATGCTTAAATCTCTTGTTATTCTCTTTTTACCCCTGTATGTGTGATCAAAGTTAAATTACTGATGAGACTCACGTGGTTTAATCTCAGTAGCCTAAGAATAATTTAATTTATATTATTTGATTTTATCTGCTGAGTTTATTGAAGTGTCCTCCCTAGTTAGATCCAAACTTCTCATTTCAGGACACTTTCCAAGAAGAGACATGAACAAGCACCTTCACAAACTAAAGATGACCTGAGGCAGACAGAAAAGCAGAGTTAAAGCCTTCACTCAATGACAATATCAGGTGGCCAGAGATACAGATCTCTGTCACACAATCTCACTTCTGTCACCACAGAAGAGGTTTTAGGAAAAAGAGCTCCCTGGATGTTTTGCCTAAATAATCTCCCATCTTGACAGAGGATGGGAATATTTCCTCAAACTGGCTTGTTATGATGATACAGCAAGTACCTCTATAAAAACTGTGACAGCTTTTGCACAGGTTACTCTGAGAAGGGGAAAAGTAAATCTCAAGTACTCATTCAGCTGAAGGCATTAACACAATAATAACAAAATTCTCATTAAAATAAAGAGGAAAGATTTAATACACAGATTTGCTCAAGAAGCAGATTTATACAATGACTTTCCTAACAGATATAAGAGCCCTTGGCCTTAAGGAAACAACTGCTAAACTGGCTGGACGTCTGACAACCAGTCTGGATTTGGACTGGGTTTGTGCTGCAGAGGCATCCAAGTCTCCTTTGAATGAAGCATTTCTTCTGTGTCACCAAAGCACCTCCTGTACTGCCAGGAGACGTCCCAATGAAAACGCAATACAGATACTGCAATTAAAACTAACAAAGCAAACCACCTGCAATTGTACTTGTTTATGCTCTCCTTAACCACTACTCACAGCTACAGCACTTCACTCTGACGAGCTTTTACCACTAAAACGCCTGTCACTCCACCTAATTGCCATTGATTACAACACAGCCATTGCGGGTGCCTCACCCTCCAGGCCGTATGATCCCGAAAATCCCCGCTCGCACAGCGGCCCTCCAGCGCTGGGGCTGCCCCACACCGGGATCGCTGACCCCTCCCGGGCTGCCCCGGCCCCTCCGTGTCCCCGTCCGGCCCGCAGCCCCTCCGAGCACCGCCCCGGCCCCTCAGCACCCCCCGAAGCACCGGAGACAGCGCTCCGGGACCCGTCCCCAGCGCTCCCGCAGCCCTCAGCCCCTTCCCCCCGCGGGGGCGGCGGCGGGTCCCACCCGCGCCTCACCTGGAGGTGATGGCGGCGGAGCAGCGCACCCGCTCGCTGAGGTCGCACAGGGCCTGGTAGTGGCTGTCGTGGCCCTTCTCGCGCTCCAGGTGGCAGGCGTACAGGGACAGCAGGATGCCGGCGGCGCACACGGCGGACCGCGCCACCCGCTCCCAGCGCGGCACCGACACCCGCAGCAGGACGGGCGCCGCCATCTTGGCCCCGTCCCTCCGCCTCAGCCCGCGACGCGCGCCCAGCGCCGCCCCGCCCCGCGCACGCGCGCGCTCCTCATTGGCCCGCCGCGCACGCGCGCTCGCCTCTCATTGGCCGGCCGGGCGGGCTCGCCACAACCCCCTCCCCCCCTCCCGCGCTGGCCCCGCCCCTCTCCGCTCGCGCCGGACGTGGCGCCTCGCGACGACGTCACGTCAGGCCTGGGCGGGGAGGGGGGGGGGAAACGTGGCACAGCGCCCCCTGGCGGCCGCCGGGAGTCCGTGAGGGCAGAGTCCCCTGACGCCCCCGCCCCGGCTGATGGCAGAAGGAAAATCGGATTTTGCTCGCGTTTTCCAGGTCTGGGACGCGGGGGAAACTGGGAAGTTCTGAAAAACGCGAAAAAAGTCTTCACGGCTGACCTGACCCTCAGGGATGATGTGTCACTTCACCGGAGCTGAGGTGGCGTGAGCCTTAGCCCCGTTCTCCAGGTGTTTTTCCATGTTTTTGGGCAGAATGCGCCAAACTCCCGCATCCTGCAGACGCACAGAGGCCATCTGGTGTGCAGAGGGCCTGTTACACTCCCAAAGTCCACCACGAGGTTGTCTGGGATGTGTAATTTGGACAGACGATAGAAGAAATCTATTAAAAGTTTGATTTTCCAAGTGCACACCACAGCCTTGTGCTCACTTGGCTCGGGAGCAGCTGTTGATGGATTCCCCCAGGGCTCGCTCAGCCTTGCACTGAAGCGATGGCATTTCATCACTTATTTCCCAAATCTGGGATCGCATTTTGCCAGACTGCCTCACAAACACACGGACACAACCCAAAATCAGGGCCGGATCTTCTTTCTTTCACACGTTTCTATCAAAAGCAGCATCAACACCTGGCTGGTGGTTAAAGAACCACTCAATCCCTGTGGTGTAGCCACACAAAAGTCACGGCAACTGAAAATAAACAACCTTTGCTCGCCGTAAACATCACCAAAAACACCATTATTGCTGATTTTTGGGATGGCTACTCGTTCTCGTGCCCTTTTCCCAAATCCTTGCTCGCTGTGGGCATCAGCAGATGCGAGGGTGAGCTGGAACAAAAGGGAGCTCTGGAGTTTTCCCAAGGAAAGCAGGAGGACAAAGCACAATGGCAGCATTCATCCCGCCATCCTGCCCTCATTGTCCTGCAAAACAAAACAAATCCAAGAGGGACGCGGTCACAAAGTGACTTCAAGCGTCAAGAATCCCTCTGCCAGCAAAAAAAAAAAAAAAAAAAAAAAAAAAGGAAAATTGAAAACTATTAATTAAAAAGCATTGAGAAACCACTCGTTAAGAAACTAATTGCTTGAAGTCTAGAAAAGCAAAATGATAACTCCTCCTGCTTTCTATGCAGTGATTTGCTCTCAGAGATGGAGAGAGGCCAAGAGCCAGGGAGAAGAAGCTCTCAGGGATGAGCTCTTGCAGCAATAACACCAGTGGTCTGAGCTTCTGCAGATGTCCCTGTTCTGAACGTGTTTTATCTTTTATATTTATCTCCTGATAATTCTCTAGTCGGCAACTGCTTTTCTCAACTGTACTTCTGCTCTATAAACTCACAATGTTAGCACTTCTTTCATCAGGCAACAGTTATATCCCCTGATGTAAAAGATGTTGAAATGCCTGGTATTTCACCTCCTTTATAAGTGAAGAAACTGAACTAGCAATTTTTTTGTCATGAATTATCATAACTGTTGACTGTGGTATCCCTTATCGTTGCTGCTGTGTATAGAAACAGCTTAATTAATACAACAGTTAATAAATTCATTTAAAAAATTAATTTCTCCAAGTAGACAGTGTCTCTAAAGCAAAGAGACTCAGCTCCTGGGTGGGGATGAGGAGGCAGGAGGGAGCCTCGCTTCTTTTTTGGGATGAAAATCACAGAATCACAGAATGGTTGGGGTTGGAAGGGGCTTCTGGAGATCATCCAAGGCAGGGTTACCTGGAGCAGGTGACACAGGAACACATCCAGGTGGGCTTGGAATGTCTCCAGAGAGGGACACTGCAGGTTCAGAGCTCTGCCACCCTCAATGTAAAGAAATTCTTTCCGATTCTTGTTGTATTTTAGTTTAGGCTGTAGCTGGGCAACACCAAAAAGAATCTGGGATCATCCTCTGGCACCCCTTGGAGATGTTTCTATCGATGGATGGGATCTCCTCTCTGCTCCAGACTGAAATCCTAAATCTGGAACTCTACTGAAGGGCTGAATTCGGAGAGGCTTTTGGAGGCTCCTTTTCCACCGAGAACGATTCCCTGAAGGCTGGAACACTTTTCATCGTGATTTAGGTGTTTATTGTGACTGAAGGTGCCACGGGTGCAGGTTTATTGTAGTTTAGGTGTTTATTGTGACCGATGGTCCCGCACAGACGCGAATTTATCGCTATTTACGTGTTCATTGTGGCTGAGGATCCTACAAGAGCGGATTTATTGCTATTTAGGTGTTCATCGTGGCTGAAAGTCCCACAAAGACGGAGTTTTATCACTATTTAGGTGTTCATTGTGGCTGAGGGTCCTACAAAGGCGGGTTTATCACGATTTAGTTATTTATTGTGACCAAGGACCCTGCACGCGCCTATTTACCACAATTCAGGCGCCTATTTTGGCTGAAGGTCTCGCAGACGCAGGTTTATCGCTGTTTAAACCTTTATTGTAACTGACGCTCCGCAAGCACGGGTTTAACCGCACTATAGGCGTTCATTTATCCCCCGGGCCGGCCGCCCCCGCCGTTATCCCGGCCGCTCCCGCGCGCCGCCTCAGGCGGGCCAAAGGGGCGTGGCCTCCGCACAAGCCCCGCCCCGCCCTCACGCGGCGTTCCGGAAGTGACGTAGCACGCGGTGACCTTCAGAGGCGGTGGAACGAGTGTCGGGTCGGGCCGTACCGTTCGGGCTTTCCTGCGCTTTCCTTCTTTCCGTGCCGCTCCGTTCCGCTCCCCGCCGCCATGCCCAGGGGCAGCCGCAGCCGCACGTCCCGTGTGGCGCCCCCCGCCAGGTGAGGGCTGCCGGGGACCCCTCTCCTTCTCTCCTCTCCCTCGTGCAGGCCGCAGTGGCCTGGCCGCCATTGTGAGGGCCGGTGACGCACCGGGGTGGTGGCAGCGCCCGGCTGGTTTGAGCTAGGCTGGCTCTGGGTTAGCGGAGCGCGCTTGGGCGCTTTGGGGGATGGAAATGGGTCTGCTCGGCCGCAGGGCCTGGACACCAGCACCGTGGTAGTCAACCGCTTTTGGGTCATATTGTATTTCTTCTCAAAACAGCACAGCTCTGTGATCTGGGGAATAACCAGGCAGAAAAAAACCTGCAATCCTGACCGTGTCTTGCATAAGACGCTTACCCGAACACTGAGTTCATTCCTTCAGCGTGTAACAGGGGTTTGTGTAATCCCAGCGTGATCCTTGGCGCTCCTGTGCAGCGCCACGAGTCGCACTCGGCGGTCCCTGTGTGTCCCTTCCAGCTCGGGACATTCTCTGCCTCACAAGAGGAACGGTGCATTCCTGGCCCTGCAGCCACGCGGCCCGGCATGATTTGGGATGATGATGATGAAGTGACGTTTCTCTTTGTGTCCCTGCAGCCGGGCACCCCCGATGAGAGCCGCATCTCCCGCACCGGCTCCTCGGGCCTCTGTCCCCGCAGCGGCTCCGCCTTCCGCCGTGGCGACCCCAGCTCCGAAACAGCCAGGGCTGATGGCCCAGATGGCCACAACTGCTGCCGGGGTGGCCGTGGGCTCGGCTGTGGGACACACCATTGGCCACGCCATCACTGGAGGATTTAGTGGAGGGGGCAGCTCTGAGGCTGCCAGGCCTGATATCACTTACCAGGTGAGGGGAAGCACAGCTGGACACCGGCTATGGCAGCTCAGCCCCACGTGGGCTGAGGGAGTTGCTGGAGCCTTAAATACCACATGAGTCTATAGACTATATAAAACCACATACAGTCTGTAGCTACAGACTGAATCTCCAAGGTAACTCACCATGAGTCATCTTAAAAGGAGTTCAGAGGGATGCAGGAGTGATGTGTGGCAAGGTCTTGGTGTTATTTTCTCCTGTATTATTCCTCTGATTCAGGCAGGACTTCCATGTTCCAGGTCTGATTTGCTTAGGTGCCATCCAGAGTCACCTGAGTTGCCTCAAGTGTTTGTAATTTTAAAAACTCCTCTGAATGTGGCATTCCACTACTGGAAAAATTGTTTTGTACTTCAGCCCTTTATTTGTTTTCCATTAAAAAAAATTAGGATTTTGACTGAAATGCAGGGAGGAACACTCAGCAAGAAGTGTGAGGGTGGTTTGACTTTGTTGGAAGAGTCCTTACAGTGCTATTTGGTGTTTCAGGAGCCCCAGGCTGCTCAGGCTGCCCAGCAGCAGCAGTTTGGTCCTTGCCAGTATGAGATTAAACAATTCCTGGAGTGTGCCCAGAACCAGACTGACCTCAAGCTGTGCGAGGGCTTCAGTGAGGTGCTCAAGCAGTGCAGGGTTGCCAATGGTAAGTACACAGTGCTGGCAGGCAGCTGTTAAATGGGATAATGAGTAAAAGTATGGTGGGAATGATGTCCTGAGGGTTTGATCCAGCTGGTGGAGTGATGAAGGTGCTCTGAAATCAGGTAAAGCAGGTGTTGTTCTGTTGGGCTTCAAGCTTGGGTCCTGTACATGTAGCTGGGGTGGAGAGAGGTGAATTCCTGATGCTTTGTGCAGGTGCATGGATTGAAGATGACTGGAAATGTAGCAGCAGCACATTTGGGGAATTAGCAGAGCTCTAAGGATGGTAAAACCATCCTGTGCTGGCAGGAAGGAGGCAGCTGTGCACCAGAGCTGGTATCTGCAGCTCAACATATCCCAGCAAATGCATGAGGGAAGGGGGAACACCCTGACAAATCTGCCTTAGGGCAAGGAAAACACCTTCTATTCAGGGATCCAAAACTCACTGCCATAACTCCTCCCTTTCAGGTTTGGCCTAAACCTGCACAAGGAAGCTGCTGAAGATCATCTTGCAAGAACTGACCTATGAATGA